TGGTCTTTGTGGGCCCCAGAGCACCAGAAAATGGCCTGAAAATGCACTCCAAAATGCCCCCCAAAATAGCCAAAAAAACAGGCATGCACGCACCAGCCATCTGGTCTTCATGTTTCCAGTGCTCTGGAATGCGCACGCATGCATGCACATTCCAGTTTGGGCACTTGGTGCTGAAAAGGTTCACCAACACTACCCTATACAATTTCAGATAAATGGTGTCCGGTCTCTTTTTGAAAGCCTCCAATGATGGAGCATTCACAACTTCTATAAATACTGTAAAATCACATCAATTCTAAAGAGTCATTTTTTAGCCACTGACGTTCTTCTTCCTTTGTTTTTTTCACAACAACACACCATGAAGGGGAAAGGCAGAGGAAATGACAAAAACCTGGGTTGCGTCTAAGAACAAAAACAAGAAATCTGCCGAAATCCACTTATTCTTGAAAGAGGTGGGTTAGTCAATTTTACAAGGCTTCTGACACTGCCAAATGGCAGAATATCAAGTAAAACTCATTCAGGGGATGGCAAGTTTTCTGCTTACTCAGAACTTGGCTCATCATGGAAGCTCTGGGAGTCAGAGACCACCTTTTGATACTCCTGCCGAGATCCCTACTGTTTGCTTTCCCAGAAATTAATACAAGTTTTACTGCGGCCCTAAACTTCACCAAGCAGTGCATAAACACCTTAGTTGTGAGCCGATGCTGGCAGTGGGAAAATTGTTAGAAACTTTGCTGTGATTAAAATAAATTAAGCCACTTTGGAGGGTTCTAACAAAAAAACTTCCATAAGTCTTCTTCTAACTATGATTTTATAAATCATATGTAACATAAGGCATATGCTAGTGGGAAATGGCATGGAATCCTTAACAATTCTTTCTTTAAAAGAAGGTTTCATCTGGGATTTATGTTTCCATTTATTATTTGTGGTCACATCAGCCCCAGATAAGGTAAATTTCCACCCTGGGAGCTCCATTTCTCCTAAGATAGAATGGGCCTTCCTCCTATTTGGCTTTGTTTTTCTTTTTCTTTTAATAACAAAACTTTTAGTTAACACTGCCTTTTGCCTCCCACACATCCAAAAGATGCTGCTGTCATTTCCATTTCACGCATTGCACATATTATAACCTTTACATCCCAAGCAGCATTTGAAGATGGACTCTCCCAATTCAAAATGAAACTCCAGACAAGTGATGACAGATGGCGTAATGGTGGAATTGAGATTTTTTTTAAAGAGGAGGAGAACAGATGGGGAATGTCTAGAAGTTTTGGAGAGAGGTGTGACTTCAGGGAAGTTTGCACATGCACATACACATGTACACAAAAGCCCTACCCTAGGGAGCCCCACCCATTTTCCTTGCCAAGCAGCTAATCATCTATCGAGCAAACTTCCTCAAAACTGTTCAACGGCAAGGAAAGATCTTTTCTGGGAAAGATGACTGGTGAAAGGCAAGCAGAGAAGAGACATTTAACCCAGTCCTTTTCCCCAATGACCCTTATCAAGATTGTTCTTTGTCCATTGCTATTAGCTGCTAAGAAAGAGCAATCTTGAATCAAGATGACTGGCTGTGCCAGGGGAGATGCTCTAACTTTATCCTTCGTATCAGTCACTCTTATATCAAATTTACAGTTTCATCGCTACTAATAGCACCCAAGGAAGAACATGGTGATAAGGAAACTTAGAGGCAAGGAAGGACTTCGACTTCATCGTGTTCCACGATGATCCTTAGAAACCACCTGTTCATAGATGTATAAATATGTTCATGGGAAAAATGAATGGGTTACAGCTCCAGGTTGTTCACCGAGCCAGAACAATTGATTCCCTCCCCCCTCAATGCAAACCTTAGTTTAAAGGTGGAGAGCTGAATTTAGTCCTAATGTGTTGCCTATCGTCTTTCCCACCAGTCCACCACTAACTCCTCTAGACACGACTTACACCGAGACTATATTACCTCCTACATATGAAGATGTTCCTTTCCCCATGTGTCATTTCCTCTATCTCTCAAAGAGCAAGACAAATCAGACAGAAGACTCAACAAAGGAGGTCCAACAGGTCGCATAAATTGGACATCTTTGTTTTGGATGTCCACAAAATCAGAGCATAACAAAGGGTAAAGCCTAAACATATTCTTGATTTTTCCCAATTTGATACAATTTTTGATAATAATGACAAATGAATGCAACGCCCATCTATCCCTTGTTTCTTCTTCTTCTTCTTCTTCTTCTTTCTTCTTCTTCTTCTTCTTCTTCTTCTTCTTCTTCTTCTTCTTCTTCTTCTTCTTCTTCTTCTTCTTCTTCTTCTTCTTCTTCTTCTTCTTCTNTTCTTCTTCTTCTTCTTCTTCTTCTTCTTCTTCTTCTTCTTCTTCTTCTTCTTCTTCTTCTTCTTCTTTTCTCCTTCTCCCTTCCTTCTACTCAAATTTGAGACGGCAGGATTCTTAGGTATTTGTGCCTGTTTAAGTATCTTGCTCTGCATAATATTATGGAAATTGGTAGTGTTGTGGTAGTGATGATGCTGATGGTGATGATCATGACAATGAAGAAAATGGTGATGACCTAGAATATTTCATAAACTAAAGTTTTTCACATATTCAGCCAATGACTCCATTCATTAAATCTGGTCAAAAATACAGATATTGCAACAAAATAAGCTGCAAGGAAGAGAAATGAAGGTTGCACATTGTTTCTCTCAAGGATTTCTTGGTCTCCTCCCAGATGTGAACAACCCCTTTGTAACTTTCATTTCTAAAATAATTATATAATGGGGTTCATCATTTAGATCCCCTTTGGTCCAGGAACAACTAACATCCAAATGTATTCTCAATGGGCACAACATGGGAGACACTAAGCCTTCAACGTTGCTGTGAGAGCTATTAGACATATTAAGGACATTGACTTGCTACAAACCTAGATATTTCAATACGGTTTTTAAAAAATGTTGCAGCTTCTGCTAAAGAATCCTGAGAACTGTGTTTTGGTGAGAGTGCAATAGTAACGTATTAAGAAATCTCACTTCCCCAACCCACTTCGTAGATATGCAGTGATTATGAGTCCCTAGAGAAAGGGATAGATTGTTAAATATGTATGTATGTCTGCAGTGCAGATATAAAGACTCTCTGGGGTTAAACTCAGTTCCTGGTGACTTCATGGACACACACACCTAACATTTCCTGGTGATCTCCCATTCAATTACTATTCTCATCCAAATGTGCTTAACGCTTTGGAGATCAGCCAAGTGAATTGGGTGCTGCAACTTGTGGTGAGTCCACCCAAAGGCAATTTTTGCAGTCCTTGGTTCTAAGTCAACAAACCTCTCTTCGGTATTGGTCTCCCCCACTCTCTTTGCCCTGAACCCTCTCATTCCGCAAGAAAACATTCAATATCACAATGAGTGCAAGCTTCGGCCACATCTAAATCTCCACTGAGGCACAAACATTGGGTCAGCTACCCAGATAGCTCTGTCAAGAGGCTGGAGAAGAGGTTTCTTCTGGCAGTACTTTTCTCTCTTGGACATCTTTCACTCAGGAATGTAAAGATGAGATGGTTTTTCCCCCCCTGTTTTTCACATGCTCCCTTGAAAGTCCATTCCATCGGAAGTCCATGTCATTTCTGCAGGTAAACCTCTCCCCCCCCTCCACAAAGGCAATTCATTTTTATACGCAAATTTCCTAGTATATTCATTTTGTATGCTTTATTTCCCTGATATACATATTTTTGTACACAACTTTCCCCCAACGCATGCTTTTTCTTTCCTTTTCTTTCGCACGCACCTTTTGGGTTAAGAATAGCATCACAAATTCCAGAGAGGTGCAGAATCAGAAGAATTAATCGTGTTCTGTTCTGCCCCATCATCCAGAAAGTGCAAAGTGTACTCATTTCACTTAGCAGTGTGGACTGGAAAAAAGTCCCCTTGATACCCTGAACCTCCCACTGTCCACTTAGTCCTTGTGGGGGACTTGTCTTAAGAAGTTAGCTTGACCACAGCCAAATTCCATTTAGAAGAAATGCTCATGTCCTAATTTGACATGAGCAAAATAAACCAAAGGTATTTCATGTATCTTCAACTGCATAAACCAATGACTTGATCCACTCATGGAGATCCACTCTCCATTAGCTTCCAACCCCCCAAAAAAACATGATTCAGGGAGGCCCTTTTTATTATTCTCTCCTTTCATCCCAAATTTGCTTTTATGTGGAGCTATGAGAAAGTCCATTACAGCTTGTCATCTCCTAAAGCCCCTTCCTTACCTTCTTCCCCACCTTTCCTGCTAAGCTGACTATCAAGTTCCATTTCACAGGGTCTTGAGAGAAGATGCACCAGTCTTTTCAGGAGATTGCTGATGTGAGAGGAATGTTGACCAAGAAAGGAAGAGGTAGAGGGGGGGTGCAGCTGTTTGATGCCTTTTTAGCTGCTGAACAGATTCCAACCCTGGTTTTTTTTTTCTTTTTTGGTAAGTTTATTGGGTAAAAATCAGTTGGCAAGCCAAGGCAGAAAGGATGGTGTGGGGGGGAGAGATAAACATGGAGGGGGTGGGGTAGGAGGAATCATCATAGATTGATCAGAGGGGACCCAGCCCCCTTCAGTTAATATTTCAGCTGGATTCTAAGCTACAACCATGGAGAACAACATCCATTCCTCATTGAAGTGGTAAGAGATACAGATTGACCCAGGTCACAGTAGAGGCAGTAAACATAGAGAATATTTGGATTCTACTTTGTGCTTCGTCATAAATTCTCCATGGAGCCTTCAGACATACCTCTCTCTTGCCTTGCCTTTAAGACCACCATATATATATAAAATGATGAACCACTTCCACTGAGATGAGGGCTTTCAAGCCACTTCGTTGGAATTGACAGCTGGGTCAATAGTTGTCAATGGAATAGTTGCAATAGCTGTATCTGTGTTTTGCATATCTAGAATTATTCCAGTGAGAATTTTCTGGGATTTTTGTCTCCAAGATATCCACTTTGTAAACTTTCTTTGCGTATGGCTGTTGCAGACATTTGTTTGGGTCCTTGAGATCATTTCCAGGACTCTCGTTTGACAAGGAAAGGAAATATGCAAACGATCAGGTAAACGATACTCGATCCATTCTTGTTTTTTTCTTTGCAGCCGGGTGGATGTTCCTCTGATGTTTCATTTGACCAGGAGGTGAAGTGAACTTTCTTGAATGGTATATATTCCAAAACTGAAACATTTACACATAGGACAGAACCAGAAACCTTGGAGTAGAATGAGATACGCTGGAGACAACAGAGGTTCCAGAATGGTTAAAGCCAGAAGGGCAAGACAGAGTTGGTGGCATTACGATGGTAGATGAGATCTCTTAATAGGAAGCTACTCCAGGGGAGAATCACCCTGGAATAACAGGACCATTGCCAGTTTGGTGCCTGATTAGGCATGCTTTCGTCAACTGTTCTTTTGTTGGTGTTATTCCATATTTCCAAATGAATTGAACTCTACCCAACAGCCAGAATCTAAAGGACACTGTAGGATTTGCAGTTCCATATTAAGTTAAATATTGTCCCCTCACCCCTTGTGTTATGTTTAATACTGTAGAAATCTTTCAATCTCTCCCACATTTCCCTTCTGCTTCTGGGATGTTATATTTTTAATAGCAGCAGCTACGGGAGCAAAAGCTCTTCCTCTCTCTCTCTCTCTCTCTCTTTCTCTTTCTGTATATAGCCCCAACTGCTTTACATATGATTGAGGCTTTCCACTTTTCCCTTTAACTTGTCTCTTTCGGTTTTGTTTGTTTCAGTGTTGTATGTATAGCAGGCACTTGAGTTTATATGAATATGTTGGCTTGAGGTCAAGGGAGAGGTAGGGTGGGGAGAAAAAAGACACAGCAACAGCTTCGAAGCTTGGTCGCTGCTAGCCAAGGATGTCTAAGTAGATTGGAGTGGCTTTGCCCAGCGCATGAAGGAGCTTGTAGATTTCCTTAATGTTCAGCCTCTGCTGAGGTTCCCTCTGCCAGCATCCCAGCATGATATCATACATTTCCTTGGGGCAAACCCGGGGCCTCTCCAGGACTCGGCCTTGGGTGATGCACTCAATGACCTGCAACAGGAAACATAGAGGATTAATTGTATGCATTGCCTGATTTATAAATTTATTGATCTGTTACTTTTTAAAACCAAACTCCTTCCCCTCTCTCCATGAGCTAAACAGAGGTGTCCGAATGTGGCAACTTTCAATGTCAACTGCCACCTTATACTTGCTTCTGTGCTTCACTACCATGCAGTGACAGTCTGCCATGAACTTTAAGGATGGTGGATAGGAAGGGTAATTTCATTTGGGGAAAGAGAAAGTAACCTCTGCATCTCCCCAAGATGATGTTTCAAGATCACCTGGCTGGGAGAAGTATAGCAATAGCAGTTAGACTTATATACCGCTTCATAGGGCTTTCAGCCCTCTCTAAGCAGTTTACAGAGGCAGCATATTGCCCCCACAGTCTGGGTCCTCATTTCACCCACCTTGGAAGGTTGGAAGGCTGAGTCAACCTTGAGCCGGTGAGATTTGAACGGCCGAACTGCAGCTAGCAGTCAGCTGAAGTGGCCTGCAGTACTGCACTCTAACCACTGTGCCACCTCGGCTCTACATACCAACCAAGTTTGAAGTGACCATTTTGAAAACAACTTGCTGAACGTGAATGGTCATGGGAGGGGGGGTCAGCGATGGGAGGCAGTTAAGGGAGTAAAAAGATGAACTTAGGGGGTTTGGTGCTCTTGTCTTCTAATACTTGTGAATACAATTGTCTGCTAATGTGTCTTGTAATACACTTTGGTCCACTTGTCTTCTAATAAAATTATATCTTTCAACAACAAATGGTGCCAAGGATTATTTCTATGTAGGGGTTTAAATGTTGGCAGATCTAACACTTTTAAGACTTGTGGACTCCAACTCTCAGAATTGAAGTTCACAAGCCTTAAAATTGTCAAGTTTGGAGACCCCGGATCTAAAGAATACATTTCTAGCTGTCAAGTATGATCTGTACCATCAATTCCTTGAACAGTATTGGAAAATCCATAATTGCACAATGCCTTTTGGTTTTGGAGAAAAGGCTGAGCGCTTCTACATGAAGCCATGGTTTATTTAAATCCTTTTGTTTGCAGAAGATAGCAATCATCAAGGCTTTCTGGGCTAATTTCTGGCTTATTTGCCCTTGTGTTCTTGTCTTTACCCATGCATGCCTTGGTTAGCATCCTAGGATAAAAATCAAATCAAGAATATTCCAAGGAACCTCAAAGAACCCATGTATCACATTAAGTCTCAATTACCACTGGTAAAGAAAACAATAAGCATTATGGCTCTGTACAGTATGTGTTACCAGATTTTATGTCTTACACTCCAGCTGTTCTTTCTCCCATAAACCTTAATTAAAGCTATCACAATATCACAACTCAAACCATGTTGTTAGCAGCACAGTCTTTTCTTGTTTTCATTTTTGGTTCCAATCTAAAACAAAGAATGGCAATTCCCAACATTTGAAGTTAATCACCATGTCAGGGTGTAAGACCCATAGAAAGTAATAGACCCATAGGAAGCAAAGCTCCAAGGCAGGTAGATTCCTCAAAGAATAGCTTTATTGGTTATAGCATATTGGCACGTATCTAGTGAAAACCGATTTGAAGGTTCAATTAAAAGTAAAAGTGTGTCACTTTCTCAAAACAATTAGACACATGGTCCAATCACGGTGTGGTCTGGTTGCCTGGTGACCTCACTCCGCCTTCCTCTGACCAGGTGTGAGAATGTCTTTGGTTCCCAAGAGAAAGAATTTTGTTTTGGCTCCACAATCTGAGCTATCTCAAATCCCCCCTCCTTATCCCTCAGCTCCAATGTGGCAACACAGAAGTTGTCAAAATGCCTTTGGTCAGATTAGCTTCAGGGTTGACACATAATGGACCGTAACGGACCCAGAAGTTGCCCATTTATACCCCAGGGTTCTATAAGTCAAAAGCTACCATTACTTTTCTGGAACCTTTAAACCAAGCCATGAAGTTCAGTTTCCTAGCATTTTCAATCTATGCACATAAAAATGGCTCTCTGTGTGGGTATGTTCCAGCATAAATCTGGAATGCCTCGAGCAATTTCAACCAAACTTGGTACACAGATTACTTACTCTCTGGAAACAAATACTGTGGGGGTAAGACACCACTCCTGCCCCTTCCCACATGCTCAGTGTCAACCCTACATGTTGAATCCTTTTTTTTTACTCATTGAAACCCTTGGCCTCCCCCCCCCAAAAAAAAATTAGGCACAACCCAAGAGGCTGATCCGCTTCTATTCTTGTGGAATGTTGGAGAACAAAAACATAGCAAGGAACTAATTTGCTTCAGAGTCTAGAATTTCTATTTGCTTTAAAAGCATATTATTTTAAGTGCCTTATCTGGCTTGGACTGTAGGTTTAAAATCTTTTGTATCTTTCCTGTGCCATTCAGAAATTAGCACAAACAAACTCAACATGTCGACTTCTATCAAAAGACATACTTCCAGAATCTCTTTGAGATCTGTATACTTAAATTTGGGGCTGCATTCTGTTTCCCCTCACATTCATAAGCATTCTACCATTCTCTACATTTGTGTGTGTTTATGTAGTATTTTAAATGGTGATGCTGTCTAAAAAAATCGAGGGAACCATCCATTAGATACAATACAATGTATTTAATGCATTGTATTAATGCAATGTATTGAATGCATTTAGTACATGAAATACAATGTATTTAATGCAAGAAGTCCAGTTTGTTCTAGAGGGTAAGGCACCCAGCTATAAAGCGAGAGAGTTATGAGTTCATGGCCCACCCTAGTCATTTAAAACCAGAGGGATGACCTTGGGCCCATCACACTCCCTTAGCCTGGGGAAAATAGGAGGAATGGGTGCTGGATATGTTCACCATCTTGAATTATTTGTAAAAATAATAAAGAATACAAATAAAAAAATAAATAAAAATTGAGCCCAAGTATAGAGAACATTCTTCCAACAAAATGCCCATTTCTCTCTCTCTTTTTTTCCCCAAAATAATTTAGTCAGTTGGGAGAATTGAAGCAACAGCAATAGCACTTAGACTTATATACCACTTCACAGTGCTTTAAAAGAGCCAAGGTGGCGCAGTGGTTAAATGCAGCACTGCAGGCTACTGCTAGATCAGCAGTTCAGCGGTTCAAATCTCACCGGCTCAGGGTTGACTCAGCCTTCCATCCTTCCGAGGTGGGTAAAATGAGGACCCAGATTGTTGGGGGCAATATGCTGACTCTCTGTAAACCGCTTAGAGAGGCCTGAAAGGCCTATGAAGCGGTATATAAGTCTACTGCTATATTTACAGCCCTCTTTAAGCAGTTGACAGAGTCAGCCGATTGCCCTCAACAATCTGGATCCTCGTTTTGCCCACCTTGGAAAGATGGAAGGCTAAGTCAACCTTGACCCTGTCAGGATCGAATTGCTGGCAGTCGGCAGAATTAGCTTGCAATACTGCATTCTAACCACTGCACCACCACCATGGCAACTTCCCCTAAAATCCCAATGAACCATTTGCAACCAGATTGGGGAATGCAGACTTCCTTTGATTGCTGACCAACTAACAGGCACAGCGTGGATTGGTCATGTTAATGTTTCTTTCAGTCAAAATCTTTAGGCATGATACCTCTGTATTTGACAACTGGAACCAAGGCTGTTTTCCATATGTGAAGATCTCCCAGAGAATTACTCCAAAGCTCCAGACATCGCTCTCTGTGGTGAACTTCCGGTACATAATGCTTTCAGGAGGCATCCAGCGGATTGGTAGCATTGTGTGACCCCCAACCTGCATTGGCAAACATAAAGGAAAACTGTTTAGTTGATCTGGAAAAGAATCCACTTGCATACAATCCCAGCACTTTCCAGATAACCTGGCATGAGCCAGGAACTTCCACCATGAAATGCTAACTTATCACAAACAGGGAACCATCAATAGTCATAGTACTTAGACTTATATACCACTTCATAGTGCTTGACAGCACAGTCTGGGTGATTTACAGCGTCAGCAGATTGCACCCCATAATTTGGGTCCTCATTTTCACCAACCTTGGAAGGATGGAAAGAGTGAGTCAACCTTGAGCCAGTCAGAATTGAACTGCTGAACTGCTGGCAGCCATCAGTCAGCAGAAATAGCCTGTAATACTGCATTCTAATCACTGCGCCATCTTGAGTCCCATCAGGAACAAACTCCAAGCAATGGACAGAGTTTGCCTGAAATACTGCACTCGAGCCACTGTGCCACCAGGATTATTTCAGTGCTAATTTCAGTAGTAGACATTTTGATCCAGAGATCTCCACCACCCGTAGAAAACCAATATGCCCAGAAAAAGTTTTCTGAGCTTTCCGGGATCTCTAACTCAAACACCAAAAGCTATAAAACTTAAACTTATATACCTCTTCACAGTGTTGTACAGCCCTCTCTAACCAGCCCCCAACATTCTGTGTCCTCATTTTATCGACCTCGGAAGGATGGAAGGCTGAATCAGCCCTGAATCAAGGAGAATGGAACTCCTGGCAGTCAACAGAATTGGTCTGCAGTACCATATTCTAACCATTGTGCCACCAAATGAGAAAGTCATGTTAGCTGAACATAGAAAGATAGGTTGCACATTGTTTTTAAGTCATGTTCTCATTGGATGCAGGTTCTGCAGATAGAACTTACTCCAGAGAGCAATTTTTTTTTCTGTTAGCTAATCCATTTCTATCCAAGATATTTTGATTTTTACTCTTCCCTTTTCCCCTTTTTTCTGAAAGTAAAATGGGTAAAGCAGGGTCAACCCATTTGAAGCTCTCTTGCCAAAAGGATGAGCGACTTGCAGCTGCAGCCTTTAGAAAATGTGTTGGCTTTTATGTGCAGTGCAGTGATGACAGTATAACCAGCAAGATTAAAGATTTGATGTATGCCTCAGAAGCATCAATGCTTACACAGCTCTTGAAACATCTGCATCAATCCCTAACCCTGGGGGACGCTTGGAAAAGGGGAACATTTTTTTTCAACTAGTTTTTCTCTCTTTAGGTTGTTTCTCTGCACCAGGTGGATCCATTAGGCAAGAATATTGAAGGGTGAGGATAAGGAGAAGGGGGAAGATTACTGAATTTCAAGCCGTAATTCAAAGGAATATTGCAGAATCAAACAGAAATGTCTAAAGTAGCGTGGGCTTAGTGAAGGAGCTCATGTTTCTTGGCTAAGTGGCTAATTTTTTTTTTTAAGGGAGGAGGTCTGTTTTTCACTGTCTTGGCTGGCTTCTGCCTACACAACATTGCTGGTGAAGTTTGGAGTTTTACACTGGTTTTATAACAAACTGATGCATTGGTTAATTAAGAACTGTCTGTGTATTCAAGAAGGAAACATTTGAACAGCTCTCGGGTAGACAGTTTTACATTAGGCACAAATTTTGAGCAGGGCTTCCAGCCAACAGCAGGTGGAAAGTGATGTATACAACATGCCTTTGAAAAGGCATTTTATACATAGCTGATTGAAGAGATGCAGTGGCTCAATGGCTAAGACACTGGGCTTGTCGATCAGAAATGTCAGCAGTTAAGTGGTTCGAATCCCTAGTGCCGCAGAACGGTGGGAGCTCCCATTACTTGTCCCAGCTTTTGCCAACCTAGCAGTTTGAAAACACGTAAAAATGCAAGTAGAAAATAGGAACCACCTTTGGTGGGAAGGTAACAGGGTTCCGGGCACCTTCAGCATTTAGTCATGCCAGCCACATGAACACAGAGACGTCTTCTGGCTGTGCTGGCTCTTTGACTTAGAAACAGAGATGAGTACTGCCCCCTAGAGCCGGAAACAACTAGCAAGCATGTATGGGGGAACCAGTGTTTAGAGTGCAGTACTGCAGGGTATTTCTACTGACTGACAGCTGCCTGCAATTTGGCAGTTCAAATCTCACCAGGCTCAAGGTTGACTCAGCCTTCCATCCTTCTGAGGAGGGTAAAATGAGGACCCAGATTGTTGGGGGCAAGAGGCTGACTCTGTAAACCGCTTAGAGCAGGCGGTAAAAGCACCATGAAGCGGTATATAAGTCTAAGTTCTATTGCTATAGCTATACTGCTTCTACAGTCCATTCTAAGTGATTTAGCGTATCATCCTGTTGCTCCCAACAATCTGAGTCCTCATTTTACTGACCTCAGAAGGATGGAAAGCTGAGTCAACCAACGGAGATTTGAACCGCCAAATTGCAGGCAGCCGTCAGTCAGTAGAAGTAGCCTGCAGTACTGCTGAGTCAACCTTGAGGGAAGGAATCAAACTCCTAAATAATAATTATTATTATTAATTATTAATATTAATAACAACAACAATAATAATAATAATAATAATAATAATAATAATAATAATAATAATAATAATAATAATAATAATAATAAT